TACCTGTAATCCAGGGGCTTTTCATATTTGTCAGAGGGCTTGAGGCCTTCATATACCTGGGGGCAAGGAGGAAAAGGGAGTCATAGGAAAGTATGTCAAGACCTGGCCCCATATTTGCCCAAAGACCTTGTTCAGGTCCCTCTTGGCCTAGCCCCCTTGGCCCTTGACTGGTCCTATCTCAGTCTGACCCTAGGTGGTCCAGACCTGGGTGAAGACCGCATTCTTGCAGGCAGGGTCTCGAGAGGGGCAGGCACGGTGTTCCATGGCAAGGCGGCGGTTGATGTATAGGCGTGGCATGAAGCTGGGCTTGCTGCTCTCTGAGTCACGCAGGCACTGAGCCACCAGGCCGGGCCGCTGGCGGGACAGCAGTAGGAACTGCTTCACTTGCTAGTGAGGAGAGGTGGCCAGAGCAGGATGAGTGGCAGTCAGCCTCTGTCCAGGCCCTGGAACTTTCCTCTCTGCCTGTATTCAATTCCATCATTTCAGTCTAAGTCTAGTCCATCCCTGTCCTTGTCTCCAGTCCCTTCCTTAGTTCAGCCACCAGAGGGGAGCTTTTTAAAACAAAACAAAACAAAACAAAACAAAATCTAATATTGTCATTACCTTGCTTACCACCTTTCCAATAGCTCTATTACCCTGGGACAAAGTCCTTGCTTCACAGTCCAGCCCACAGGACCCTCTGCAACCAGGACCTGCCTCCTGCCCACATCCTCCCACCCTCATCCCTCTGTCACACTCATACCTTCCTGCACACTTTTCTCAGGTCATCTTGAGTTGCTGGTAACTCCCAGTATGTACCTCTCATGCAACCTGCCCCGCCTGAGCTATCAATAGCCCTTGGGTATTCCACACACTCATATGGGGAACAGCATCCCAAATACTAAATTTGGACCATTTGTTCTGACTGTCTTCCTATGTTCCCAGACCTAGCAAAGATCTTGTCCTAAAGAAGGTTTTAGGAATTCTGCTAAAGAATAAACAACTACATGAGCAGGAAGGGGGAACGCACTGCCAAGACCATCACTGGGTGGGTCAGCTCACCTTAATCTCACTGAAGGTGCCCAGTGTGTGGTCCCAGGCAGGTACCAGGTGGTGCAGGACACTATCGAGGATCTTGATGAATCTGGCATGGGTAGGTAAAGATTGACTGCAGCTAAAGTTTGGCATATGTGTAAGATCCCCAACTCCCCAACACACAGGGACAGGAGAAGGCAGGACCTGGGGGCTACTCTGACCCTTGAACAGCCTACACTATGAGACCTTGGGGACTTCATCCATGCACACAAACAAGGCTCAATGTTGGGGGAGGGGAAGGGCCCACAGGTCCGGGACCACAGCCACCTCTGCAGGAGGACAGCTCTGCGGTACAGTACTTCAGGGTCAGTGCCTTCCAGGCGTGGATATCGCACCAGACTAGTCGGCTGGAACAGGTCTGCATTCAACCCTAGTTCCCGCTGTCTAGACGACTTGATCTTCACCCCTCGGAGACGAACATCAATCCCATCATCTGGGAGAAGGAGTCAGAGTGAGGTCATTTATGGCACCTGCTGCCTCCTTGACCCTCAGGCCTGGGAATGGCTCCTTGGATGCTCAGCCTTTTGTCACTCTTAGCCCTTAGTAACCCAGGACCTTCAAGATCACCTTCTATCATCCAATTCTAATTTATCTATTCCTGCTGATTCCTCTGTCTACCACTATAATGGTGGGATGCCTAAGGGTTCCAACTCAGTTCCTCTTCCAGGTGAGCCCAACCACCTGTATGGCTTTAATGTGGGCCTATACCTGGCACATCCCACCTGGTTCAGGCCCCAAAGCTTCAAATGCTGGAGTTAGTTCAGCATCACCTTCACCCCAGCTCCAAGCCCATCCTCTTCTTTCCACACTCACTGTCTGTTTGCCCCATCTCCACACTGGGCTCTCTTTCCCTCCTTATTGCCTTAAGCTTCACCTCGGCACTCCACGATGCGAATCTCGATGATTGGGAGGTGGACAGTCATGTCTTCCAGGACACAGACATCCCCGATCAGGGTCCTGAGGAGATGAGTGTGAGGCACTGCAGATACTCCCTGTTTCAAGCCTTCAGAGATTGCTGGAGTCTCACTCAAACTTAGGCTTCCAAACTGGGCCAGGCTTGGAACACGCCCTACTTCCCTCCCCAGGCCAGCCTGCTCACTCGTCAATGCTCACGTCACTCAGCTTCTTTAGGTTGTCTCCTTCGCCCCCATAGACCACCACCCGCTTAGGCATAAAGTTGTCATCTGTGGTATCGACCGTGAGTAGCAGCTTCCTGAAGGGTCAGAGTGTGAACATGGGTCTTTGTGAACCCACAGTCACATGGCTCACCCACCCTGTCCTGCCCAGAGCCTACTCACTTGACAATGGTGCCCTTCTTCATGGTAAGCCGTACCCAGTGCTGGCACTGGGACCCATCACTCTCCCAGTAGGTATCAGCATTACTGTCTGTCAGGCATGACACGTTGAACTCCTCCTGGGCAGGGGCAGAGAGGTGGAGTCAGCAGTTACTCTCCCTCCCTGCGCTAGGCTTGTGCTCTGGCCCAGGAGCATCAGAGAAAGCATAGTGAAGCTGGGCTAAAGGGCAACTGGTATGGGATGGGGGGCCGGTGGGCGTGTAGGGGTTCCTATAGACTTCCAAGATGGGGAGCTGAACTGAGTGTGGCCCGTGGGCACTCTGTTTTGGTCCTGGCCTGGAAGTGGGAGTTCTTTCTGGATCTAGCCTTGAGGGGTGTGACTATATCTTGCCTGGGGTGGGAGGAGCCCCAGCACCCACCGTGTAGGAGGAAACGTCTATGCTCTCCACATACTGCTTCACGCTACCAAGGTTCTCATCCTCTTTGCCCAGGTGGTCATACAAGAAGTGGATCAGGTCCTCGTCGCACTCGTAGGTCCATGTCGGGGGTACATAGCTAAGCAACCCCAAGCCCCTATTAGACTGGGCCCAGACGCAGAGCTCCTTCCTCCCCACCCCATTCCATCTCACTCACAGTAGCCTTTGTACAGCTTCTGCGTATGCCTCTGCAGGCTGAGGTCTCGATCCCAGGCGATGTGAGTATGTCAGGTCCACCACCTGTTCCCACCTGTGAGCACAGAGTAGGGAGTGGGATGGGGAGGCATCAGCGGACAGCAGGACATTAGCGCCAGGCCTTCTCCAGTGCACTATCTTCCCGCCTCCAGACACCCCACCGGAGCTCCCTTCACGTCCCGCCCCTTCCTGTTCTTAAGGCTGCCTCGGCTCCAGTATCCCATCCACCCCAGGCTGTGGCTGAAGTACTCCCAAGCCCTCCTGGCCCCGCCATGTGGCAGCATGTGCAGGACCTGAGCACCGGCCGATAATCCACGCCAAAGAGCTGCTGCTGGCGCTGGAGGTGGTCGGGAGTGTCAATGGGTACCAGGCGGGCTCCGCCCTCCGCCGGGCGGCACACCAGCAGCCAGCCTTCCTGCAGCTCGCAGTCACCCAGGTGCTCTGCCAGCTGCTCCTGCCAGGATGCGCCGGATGGGGACAACCGTCAGGGAACTGCCCAGCCGCCCGCCCTGCCCAGCCCAGGGCAAAGGGCACCGAACGCAATCCCAACTCAATACAGGGGAGGAAAGGGAAACAGCCAGAGGTTTCTCTGGTCCCGGGGGTCTTTTACAGGGTCCCCGGCAGGGCAGAACGCACCTTGGTCAGCTTCACCCAGAGCCCGTGACCATTGCACAGCTCTTCGCCCGTGGTGCGCACGCAGGCGCCCCGCCGGAGCTCGATGCTGTCGCGAGCAGCGCGGAGGGGCCCGGAACCGGTAGCGGGGGCTGGGCCTGCGGCACCCACACGCAGCCCCGAGCCCTCTGCCTCCCACACGGGCAGGAGCACGCGCGACGGTCCCGCCGGGTCCTTGTAAAGCTTGTAGAGCACCTCTCGCGGCACGAAAGCCAGCGCAGCCGGCAGCGGCCGCCCGGCGCGGAGGCTCCGCGCTGCCTCCGCCAAGAAGCGCACTCGGCCCAGCAGCTGCCGCGGTGACTCCAGCGCCGCGCCCGGGCCAGGACCTGCCATGGCGAAGTGGCGGAGGGCAGCGCCTAGGGCCGACCCTGCCCGGCGAACAGCTGGCGCGACCGCGGACTGAGCTTCCCACCACGCCCTGCCCCGCCTTAGGCCAGCCTTCACCGTATGTTCTGGACTAAGCGCGCCCCGGCTCTCACGGTATTGCCCTGTGCACTCCTACACTCAACCATATTACCTGCCTCTGTGCCACCCTAACCCAGCCGGCTAAACCCAAGATCGGTGATTTCTACCTGATTGATCTCCCTCTCTCCATTTCCTTGCTGCTACCATTTAATATCTACCGCTACTACCCTTATTCAAGTCACCATTCTGTCTAACCCGGATCTTTGCAACAGTCATTTTTCTGGTCCTTCGGCCTGCTGATTTTCCTCCCACCTCCAACGAGTCGTTTTAAAATCTGCGAGACTCCTTATCCTATGGATGGTGTGACTAAAATGTTTGAGAGAATGGCCCTTTTTCCTGTTACTGACAGGAGTCTTGATTCATTTGGGTTGACCCTGGTTGTCACTCCTAATCCCAAGACCACTGGTGATCATTATTCATTTTAATGTGATTGCTGATTTCTGTTTCCCCACAGTCTTGTAGTTCCTTAAAGGCCGAAGCTGTCTTGAGCAGAAAGCTAACCTCTGCACCCACTACAGGTCCAGGCTCTTAATGGGTAATATAAGTACATGATGATTTCAGTTTCCTGTACAGCCTGGTTTCATCATTCTCAGTATGCCTGGTTGGATAAGACTGTTAGAATCATGAGTGGGACTTGCGCCAAGCCTCCGGCATACTCAGACCATCAGATGAGGACAAATACCACATATCACTGTAAGATGTAGTTACAGCGGAGTTCTTTCTTTTGGGCGTTTGTTGTTGCGTCGCTACAACAGACTTTACGGTGAAAAAAGGTAGGGGTCCTACGGGCGGCAGCCAGGGCAGCCCAGGAGCTGTCGCTGGAGTCTGATCATGTGATCTTCAACATGGCGACACCCTTGGTGACCTCCAGAAAGGGGCGGAGCCTAGACTTGACGGGGGCAGGCTCAGATTCAGGTTAAATTGAGGATTGAGCTCGCAGTTACAGCTAACCATGGAAGCGGACGGGTTGGGGTGAGTTCTCCAGAGCACGCGGGGTGGCTAGCTGGGCTTCTAATTTGAGCCTTCCAACTCAGGACTCTATCCCCGTACGCCCCTTTCCCCACCCTGGAGCTCTCTCAACCTGAACTCCGTTAGCTGGGATCTTGAATCCTAAAACCATGGATTTTTGAGACCTTCATCCCAGGGACCTTAATTCAAGGAATGCCTCAGGATTTCCAACCAGGATCTCTATTCTGGGACTATCAACTTTAATTTCTCTTTGACTATCTCCCACCCTGGAAAATCTGTCAGCCCATGAACCAGCCCACTGATAACCCTGTTTCTGAGACTCTAGTCCGAAGACCCCCAGACTATCCTTACTGGGCCTTCATTCCCTACCCCTAGTCCCTCTAGTTGCTTCGAGCTTGGGAGAGTAAGGACTAAGTTGAGAGAAGAGGCCCCAGCGCGGGCCCTTCTAGAGTTTGTGCACCACCTGATAGGCAGAGAGGAGGCGGAACAGGCGGCCTGGAGGAGGTAGATAGCGGTCCTGGACTGAATCGGCCTTATGAACCCGCGCTTTCCCCAGCCTTCAGCCTAGCATACTGACACCTACCCCCACCCCGACCTGATCGCCAGACTTAAGGGTTTTCCGGAGCTGAAGAATGACACATTCCTGCGAGCAGCCTGGGGAGAGGAAACTGACTACACTCCCGTTTGGTGCATGCGCCAGGCAGGCCGTTACTTACCAGGTGAGAGTCAGGGCCTGAAAACCTAGATAAAACTTAGGAGGGTGAAAAGTTTTTGAGGGGCAGGGGAGTACTCTGGAAGGCCTCAAGGCTGAGCCCCGTCTTCCCTCTGTCTCCAGAGTTTAGGGAAACCCGGGCAGCCCAGGACTTTTTCAGCACTTGTCGTTCTCCTGAGGCCTGCTGTGAACTGACTCTGCAGGTGAGGGGTCCACAAAAGAGGGAAAGATTTATGCCTTCAGCTTGCCACCTAGCAACCTGTCTCCTATTTCCTACAGCCACTGCGTCGCTTCCCTCTGGATGCTGCCATCATTTTCTCCGACATCCTTGTTGTACCCCAGGTACCCACTCAAACCTGAACCTGAAATATAATCCAAGGACCCCTTGAAAATCCTATCAGTCCAGTGAAGTTTCAAAATAGGCACTTATCCTAACTGGATGGAGGGAAAAACTAAGGTTGAAAAAGATGAGTTTGGCAGTTTTATTCTCCTTTTCCTTCTCCTGGAATGGGCTGAACAGAATCTTTCCTCCTGGAGTTCCATTTTGGGAACGAAGATGTTTTCCCCCCATCCAGGCACTGGGCATGGAGGTGACCATGGTACCTGGCAAAGGACCCAGCTTCCCAGAGCCATTAAGAGAAGAGCGGGACCTAGAGCGCCTACGGGATCCAGCAGTGGTAGCCTCTGAGCTAGGCTATGTGTTCCAAGCCATCACCCTTACCCGACAGCGACTGGCTGGACGTGTGCCGCTGATTGGCTTTGCTGGTGCCCCAGTAATGTGGGACAGGGCAGGGACTGGGGGCATGGGGAGATCACTCTGGCAGGTCTGGGGTAGACAAAGGAATGAAGTATCAGTCTGGCTTCTGCACTTATGACACCAACTTTCTATCCTTCTGTAGTGGACCCTGATGGCATACATGGTTGAGGGTGGTGGATCAAGCACCATGGCTCAGGCCAAGCGCTGGCTCTATCAGAGACCTCAGGCCAGTCACCAGCTGCTTCGCATCCTCACTGATGCTCTGATCCCATATCTGGTAGGACAAGTGGTGGCTGGTGCCCAGGTGAGTCCTGAGAAAGAGACAAATAGGCTGGGATTTGGTCTGTAAGGACCAGAGGCAAGAGTGTCCTAAACCTGAGAGGGCAGTCTTAATGCCACGCATGAAAGAACCTTGGCCTCCAATGATCTAGCTGAGCATTCAAGCTCATGCTAACACTGGCAGTGGGGCTTAATGCTCTGAGTATTCAGAGACCAAAGCTAGTGCTGGGATGTAAAGAAAATATAACTTATTACTATTATTATTTTACTGGAACAGTATCAGGGATTGAAGTCATCTGGGGAAAATTGAGGTGGATTTTGTATATGGGGCCTGACGTGCTTCCTCTTTGTGTTACATGTTTCTCTTCACCATACCCTACCTGTAGGCATTGCAGCTGTTTGAGTCCCATGCAGGGCATCTTGGCCCACATCTCTTCAACAAGTTTGCACTGCCCTACATCCGTGATGTGGCCAAGCAAGTGAAGGCCAGGTTGCAGGAAGCAGGCCTGGCACCAGTGCCCATGGTGAGGACTGGGATGGGTTGAGTGAAGGTGAGCCTGTGGAGCTTTCAGGCTAAGTCCTGCATGGACTGGAGTGACCATTGGAGGGCAGCAGAGGTACAGCCAAGAAAGATTAGTGGTGGTAGCAAGGCCCTCTGTAGCCTGTGATCTGCTTTTTTCCAGATCATCTTTGCTAAGGATGGGCATTTTGCCCTGGAGGAGCTGGCCCAAGCTGGCTATGAGGTAGTTGGGCTTGACTGGACAGTGGCCCCAAAGAAAGCCCGGTAAGCCATGGAAGGGTGAGGCCTTGAGGCTGAGGTGAGGGTGGGAAGCTGCCATATATGCAGTTACTAGAACGTGGCACTGGCTTTGCTTCCAGGGAGCGTGTGGGGAAGACGGTGACATTGCAGGGTAACCTGGACCCCTGTGCCCTGTATGCATCTGAGGTAACAGCCAGGGCCTCTCTGTGTGTCTGAGTTTCTGTGCACTCCTGCGGATATGGTTGTATTATTCTGTGTGTACTTTTTTTATGCCTGTCTGTCCTCTCCTACTCTGTATGTACAACATAAGCCCTAGCAAGGCTGGACTTTTTGTTGCTGTTCATTTGTGTTTATGCTTCATGCCTGGCCCATATTAGGCATCTGATAAATTTTATCGAATGAATGAGTTCACACTGAGTAGAAGCATGCCTGCATATGTGTTTGTCACTAGTATGTATAGAAAGGACAGAGGCTTGCTGGCCCTCTTGTAGCCAGTGCCGTCTTGGTCCCCCAGGAGGAGATTGGACAGCTGGTGAAGCAGATGCTGGATGACTTTGGACCACAACGCTACATTGCCAACCTGGGCCATGGGCTTTATCCTGACATGGACCCAGAACACGTGGGCGCCTTTGTGGATGCTGTGCATAGACACTCACGTCTACTTCGACAGAACTGAGTGCATACATTTACCCTCAAGTACCACTTACATAGATGATTGATTGTTTCTAGGACAATAAAAGTTTCAGAGTTGAACTATTGTGTAGTTTTGTTTGTGAAAGACTTATGCCCATATCCTCAGTTGCTTCTTAGCCTCTGTTCCTTCCCTGGGAACTCTCTCTATATCCTCTTCACAAGTCACGGGGGTTAGGTATCAGTGAATATGTACTATAGCACTTAAGGGTCCTCATTCCCATCTTACTCTCAGATACCTAAGTCCCAGAACTACATGATGTAGGGTAGAGCTTCCTAGCAGTTCAAGTTGCGACATCTGGCAGAAAAATGGGTGGGGCCAAGCAAGCCTCTGTCCTTTCTATACATACTAGTGACAAACACATATGCAGGCATGCTTCTACTCAGTGTGAACTCATTCATTCGATAAAATTTATCAGATGCCTAATATGGGCCAGGCATGAAGCATAAACACAAATGAACAGCAACAAAAAGTCCAGCCTTGCTAGGGCTTATGTTGTACATACAGAGTAGGAGAGGACAGACAGGCATAAAAAACGTACACACAGAATAATACAACCATATCCGCAGGAGTGCACAGATATACAGCATATAAAGGCCAAATTGATAGGGCTTTATGTCTGAGGAAGAAGGGAAGAATACATCAAAGAGGAGCACAGAAGGAGTTAGAACACTTCAGAGAAGGATGGGAAAGAAGATGGAGTCTAGGTGAGCAGGGAGAAGCTGAGGGAACCTCAGCTTTCACACCAAAAGATAGGGAGGACATCAAGGCTCAGAGCTAGGTTGCTTAGGATTGGAGCTTTAGACAAGTCCATCATCACCAAGGCAAGAAGTCCTCTGAAACCAAAAGACCCTCTGGCACTCAGGTTGCTTTATATTCTTTTCTGAGCAACCCCTTTAATTTTCTCAAGATCTTGGTGTTTCTACCCATCCTGGTGGGACCTGCTTCCCAGAACAAGGATCTGAGGTGTCTGTAAGCTCTGGAGAAGGGTCTGGTATAGCAAATTCTTTATCATTCTGTATCCCTTTGGACCACTAGGAGCCCAGTGTGCTGCAGGCTGAACCAGCTCCCTGGCCCAGCCAGGGCAATGCAGAAGGGAGAGATGGGTTTCATTTATTGAGAGAACACAATTTCTGCTTTTAGAAAAATGATCTTTTATGTGATCCACGATTTATTCATAGAAAAGCACTGTGAATTCACACACTTGCTAAAAAAGGGCAACTGTGATACAGAAATGAGAGTGGCTTCTCTCTTTTTAACCAACCCATTGGGCTGAGATGTAGGGGCCCTTGGCTGGACAGTAAGACTTGAGTAGCCACAAACGGCAAATACAACTTCTTGGTCAGTTTGGAGTAAAAAAGGTGACAGTTTGTCAAAAAAAAAGAAAAAAAAGTAAAGTGGATGAAGTTCTTAGTTCACAGTCTAGCTATACCACCCTTTCCCTATCAACTCCCACCCCCAACTCAGGAACTAAGACATAAAACAGTTAACACCAAGACAGTGGCATCCAACTGACTCTTCTGAATGCCATTGCTACCTCCTATAACAATTCCAGGCTGAACATAGTGGTCAGGAAGGTAGCAGGAACATGATACACTGTGGAGGTCTGCCAGGGCTAAGACAGGGCTGCCCACTGGGGCTAGAAATTAGGAAGGGAGAGATTAAGTGCAGACCAGCCCTGCTTCCCAGGACAAGGCTCAAGTCAGTGAGTAATAAGACTGTGACAAGAGCAGGCAGAGGAAGCTTGAGGTAGAAAGCAGGGGCAGAAAGCAAGTATGGGGCGAGAAGAGAACCATGGAGCTAAAGCAGCCAGTCTGATGGCAGAGGGAGACTGGTGCTTAGAAGCTTGTTTGGTGAGAGAATGAACAGAGGAGGCACAGAGATGGGGAACAAACGTTTAGCTGGTGAGACAGATTTAAGAGGAATGGGGCAGAGAAATCTGGCAAAAAGAAAGGACACATTCAGGCAGATCCTTAAGCATGAATACACAGACATCCCTACATGCAGAAACACTCAGTTACACATATAAGGACATGGATGCATGGGACAATAAAAGTTTCAGAGTTGAACTATTGTGTAGTTCAAGCATACACACAGACACAAATGTATTTATACACATGCACTCGTGTGCCCATATACACACACAAAACATGCACAAACAGTGCATTTACACATAGATGTGCATCCTCACATGTGTGCAAAATGTGTATATCCTCACACAGAAACCCACAGTCCAGTATGCACATATTCACACAGGAATACAGCCATAAACTGAAACAGATACACACACATATATGTGCACATGCAGACAGGCATGCACAGATATATCTATGCACAGACACAGGTACTTAGCCATACAGATACACACACACATGATAATAGATGAAACCACATACTCTCTAACACAAAGATGACCAGAGTAGATGAATATTATGAACCCAGTGGCTTCCCGGACCTTCATCTTCTCCCTGCACTTGTTTCACAGGTGTTCAGCAGGCTCCTGAAGAGGCTGTGTGAGGCAGGAGCTTTAATGTCTAAGTCCAGTCCTGGCCTCTGTCCCTCACCCATCACTGGGCTATAAATCCCCGTCTGTAGGCAGGGGATTCTGCATAGACTAGACTTGGGATTGATTCTAACTGGCCATTTTTCTCCTTGGCAACCCCACTCTTCCACTGCTACCAGCATACACTTTGCAAGGGAAACCTGAGAAATGGTTGTGAGTCTCCTCAGAAAATAAGCATATCCTCCCACCCATAGCTACTTCAAGTGCCCATCAAATCAGAACCAGAATTATAAATAGTTACAACTTTACAATAATTGGCAACACATATGCTATAGTATTTACAGTACCATAAATGTCTGTTTCTCTGGTTAAGCAATCCCTGAGACGGAACAGTGTTCTGTGTTTGCCAAGGAAGTCAAGGCCAATGCCCAGGACATGCAGGATATAGGGGCATGAGGTGGCATGTTGCGGGGTTTCTGGTCGATCTGCAGGGCTCAGCTCATCCATGAACAGTGGGCTGTGGCAAGAAGCTTGCCAAGGTAGGCATATCGACTAGAGTTGGATTCTCCCCATCCTTAGCCCTGTGGTCCTTTGGCCTAAGCCATAGGTGCTCAGAGTCCTCTCAGGGTGAACAAATGTTTCAGTGTCCTTGGTCTGTCCTGATACTACCTGGGAACCCAGGCTGCCCTGGCAGTGAGCTATCTGCTTTCTCAGCCAAAGCGCTCTCGCACCAGCAGCATCAGCTTTTTCTTGCCTTTGTAGATCTGTTTGAGGTTGTCAATGAACTGGGCAAACTGCAGGTGGCCATCCTGGGGCAGCAGGAAGGTCTCCCGAGCCTTGCTTAGAAACTCAATGAACTCTCCGTAGTGGCGAGGGCTGATGTGTGTTAGGCGTGAGTGTGTAGTGTTGATATAGGCATTGATGGTGGCATCCAGCAACTGGCGCAGTGGAGCTTTGTCAGTGGACATGAGCTTTCCAGAGCTGCGGCGGCCTGGGATGCCGGCCAGGCCAGGTGCAGTCACTGTGCAGCGTCGTAGGATGTCTGAAAGCACTGTGGCACAGTGCACACTCTTCACCACCAGGGGGATGAGAGCTGCCAGCTCATTCTTGCCCAGAGAGTGGCTGAGAGCACAAGCCCAGAGCACATCATTGATGGCTGGGTGAGTATCCTGGTTGTAGGCCAGGTTAAGATGGCTCATGGCCAATGAGGCCAGCTTGAAGGCACGTAGTGGATAACCACGGAGCTCCATGTAGCGGGCAATGGTGAACAGCTGTGAATGGGTCATGCCACCAGCAGCAGCATCAATGGCAATCTGGTAGGCTGCCTCAAAGGCAATGTGGTCTTTCTCACAGAGTGTAAGGGCTGACAGGGCACAGCTCTGTGGATCCTTCATAGCACACTGCAGGGCCAGTGTGCGAGCGCAGCTGGCCAGTTCCTCCCGCTGTGGATAGTCAAGACTGAGGCGCAGGGTAGTGGTGTGGGATACAGCTGTGGCAGCTACAATACTAGTAGCCTCAGTAGGGGTGAAGAGTGTGTACCAGCTTTGCAAGATGCTCACCAGGGCCCGCACACCTGTCAGGGAGAGCCTGAGCTCAGCCGTGGCCATCTGAGTCCTGATTCAGGTCTGCCCAGATTACCATTGGGATTTGAACTTGGCCTGCAGAGATGAGTTCTCCCTCCTCAGCAACGTTGAGATGATTTGAGGCAAACCAGGGCAAGGAGAGGATCCCAGATGGCCAGACCCTGTTTGGGGTCTCTTCCTATCCCTTCCTTCCCCAGGTCAGAGGGTTGAAGGTTTCTGCAGGTGCTCTTAACCCCTCACAAGGATGGGGCAGTAGAGCCTGGGGTTTGCTTGCCCTGAGGCATGGGTTACAGATCTGCCAGGGATTCTAGCTGAAGTGGGGCCTCTTAAGGTAGAGTCTTGTGCTGGGGCTTTGGGCTTTAAAAGAGTCCTGAGCCTCCAAGTTGTCTGGGGTTTCTCACAAACATGGACAGAGATGGGGACCAAACCACTGGGCCCACTACCTCCCAAGGGAGCCCTTGAGTAGCAGCTGAAAATTCATTCTCATAGACACGTCTCTGATGAGAGGATCAAAGTGCTGCTGACATCAGGATATGACGGCAAGGGGGATGGGGGAATGAACAGGATATGGTTCAAGCAGTGAGGACAGGGCTTGGGCTGGGTGAACAGAGGCCATCTTCTACCAGCAGCCCCATCCTTTCTTAGGCCGTCAGGAATAGGAATATGAGAGTTCTAAGGATTCACTGTCCTGTCCCAAGAGTAGGGCCTAGAAACTCCTTTTCCCTGGGGGTAGAGGGAGGTGGGAGACTCACCCACTTCTGTAGCACAGGTCACCAACCATCGTACCATCTCCCTGCGTCTCCAATTAAGGGTTGATAAGGTCATCCGCATCACCTGGGCACAAAAGAGGCCTTGCCAGTGGGCCATGCCTAACTGTTGTGACCTCTCTTTCCCCTTGCCATTCATTTATGCAACAAATATTTTCTGGTGCTTTAAACAGTGGTTTCTCCCCGATAAAGTACAAGTTTAATTTCTT